ACCCTAGTTGACATGTGCACAAGTGCAACAATTATCACTAACAACAAAAAAAAAAAAAAAAAATTGACAAGAATATCTGCTATTGTCGTGTACAGAGTTTTTTTTTTGTTTTTTAGTCTTTTGTTGCTCTATTAGTTACTAGTAGTTATTGTATAGCATTGCATGTAAGGTGTGGGGTGGCATGCCTTTAGTGGGTGGAGAGTCGATAAAAAATGCGTTTTTGTTACGGAAAGGAAATCATAATTATACGCTCAGTGGGTGCAACATGTAATTATGATTGCTATGAATATTTATATGAATGTATATGTATGTACAGTTAACAAACTGTTTCAGGGGTAAGGTGAAAAAATCAAAAAACTAAAAACACAAACCATAAAAGTAGTATTCGAAAAAAAAAATCTTGCAAGTGAATATGAATGCAATAACAACTCTAGAAGGAAATATGCCCTCGGCTGTTTGTTCCACAGACCTGGTTGGAAATTCGGTAACCGACGCACAGCCTAAGCATTTGAGAGACGACACAGGTGGCCCTTTACGAAAAGTAATAAAACCATGAAAGTGCTACAGATCAACCTAAATCACTATAACGCCGCTCAGGAGTTGTTGAAGCGAGTTGTAACGGACAAAAATTTAGAAAAAGCACTGTTAAGTGAACCATATAGAGTACCTGAATCTCAGCTTTGGCCAGGAGATAGCAGCGTTCGAGCGGCTGTATGGATTTGTGCTAAAATACCGCATCTTACATGTAGAAAAACATAAAGCTGACGTAAGCTTCATTTGCGTTAGGATGTACCCCCAAGCTTCAGGATCTAAAAGTTTGAAACAGTCATGGTCAACATGGCGGGGGATGCGAAACCCAGAGCACCTGTGCTGATTGCAGGACACACGCCTAGGGAAGAGCTCTACTCTCGGCGCTATCACTTATAGTTGTAGCACCTTTAAATAGCCGATACAATTTTACTTTCTCACCTGACTTTCGCGAGTAGGGGCATTCAACGCCCCTTGAAATTTAGCTATAAGTATACATATCCACAGAAACTAACAGGCGATCATCTGCACGATAGAGGGCGAGCTAAAAAGATGAAGAACTTCAAGGCGTTCCCACGACAGTCGGGTCTACGTAATAATAACAAGCACTTCAAGATTAGTTAAGCCAATTAAGGCTGAAAGTAGAGCACACTAGACGAAGAGGCGCTAATCTTAATGGCATCGAAAATTAGTTGACCAGAGGGAGCTACGAATAAGGCTTGTGATGCTGAGATGATAAGCAAATCCTCCAGCAACAGAGACACACCAGCCTATTAGTGGAACGATCGCATAACAGACCTGCGGCGGCAATGTAGCAGGGCGATGCGTAGATACCAAGGAGTCAAGGTACGATGGTCGCACAAGCATAAACATGCCATAAAGAACAGCAAGCTAAAGGGCTTACAGAGCCTGTGTAATAGCGAGGACCAAGTGTTGTCGGGATTGGCGTACACGGTGGTAACAAAAAAGCTGGAAACTTCAGTTCAGCCACAAATAACAATTACCTAAAAGGTAAAGCAAATCATCAATGGTCTCTTTTTTGACCGATATCAAATTTTACAAGTGAAAAAATCTCCCGAATTAGGTGCGATTTTCTGACATTATCGTAGTAGAAGTTATAGACGCGGCAGAGTATTTTATTGACCGAAAATCCCCACGCCCCGATTCCACCGAGTGCCGATTCTAACCGAGTGCTTAAACTTTTCTCGAAGGCGAGACCAGAAGGATTTATTCGTACGTTCAACGATTGCTTTGCGGAAAGTGTCTGCCCTGGCATATTAAAGCAACAGCGTTTAGCCCTCCTCCCCAAGGATGAAAAACCACTTGGAGATCCATCGACCTTAAATTTGGGTTTCCAGATCACTGTAGTGTTTTCCAGGCAGAGCTAGCTGTCATTAAAGAAGCAGTTGCTACCATTGGTAGCCCCAAGCAGCAATCAGGGCTCTGAGGACACTAACGATTAAAGGTAATTGGGAAATACCTGACCACTCTTGCTATCACGTCTGACTGTTGGATGAGTGATGAAAGCTAGTCCCACTAGGAAAAATTTAGAGCCAATCTAGTATTTATGCATGGACGGGGATTTTAATGATCCTAATGAAACCAAGTGAGAAAAATATAAACGATTAAATTTTTTCACTTTATTGAACGATGACATACCGTTTAGTTTAATTGTTTAGTTGTGTTCAAAGAGAGACCAAGTTTCGGCTTATTACTAATTAAAAATATATTTTCACTTAAATTTAATATACCACAGAATAATTTTTTTTTTTTTTAATAAATATGTTCCATTTTCTTATAACGATGACTTGTAAACTTTTTTGGTTTTAGTCTATAATTCCGACTTGGTGCTTTGTCATTATAGAGTTAAATTTTTGGTAAGTTGTGCTTTAATATAGTAGTTAATATGTATATATTATAGACCACTACACGCTTGACTAGCATCGTTTTCAGTACATTCCTTATATTCCACACAAACTCATTTAAAATTTTTGATAATTGCACTCTCTAAATTTCCATCCTCATCCTCCTCCTCTCTTTAGATGCCATTTTGATGGACCCCACTGCCGCCGCCGCCACCACTGCCTGTCGCTGATACTCTGCCGTTACAGTACCCCTCCGCAGTGTTGCTACCGCCGCCAGTGCTGCTGCCGCCTTCACCCATATTACTATAACCACTTGTGGACTCATCACTCTGATCGCTATGCGGATTATGATTATGAAACTGTTGAGTTGTTGTTATATGTTGCTGTTGTTGTTGTTGTTGTTGTTGTTGCAATGGTATCTGTCCCATTGATTGGACCGATACGCCATTGTGCGCATGGTGATGCTGATTATGTGTGGGTGTACGTGGATCTTCTGGTGTCCAAGTGCGTGCATAGAGTTTACTGCCCGGGTAGCGATCACCTTTGCGGTACCAAGAGAGTGAATGTGATATGCCGCCACCTAAAAGATTATAAAGATAATGAATAAAGTTTTGTTAATTTCGTATAAAATACAAACACATTTTTATTGTTAAGCTTAGTATCCAGCTCTTAAGAAAACGGTCAAGAAAAAATTGC